TAACCTGATCGCCGTATCCGATCGTATCACAAACGGTCAGTTTCAAGCGGACGTTGCTCTCCTGCAGCTCGTAGGTATTTGCCTTCAGCTTCACATTGGGCAGGCTGTGCGGGCTCGGTGTGGATCCAAAGCTGGTATTGAACAATGTGTCCATGAGGGTGGATTTCCCGAGAGCGGTCTCGCCGATGCACAGGATGTTGAAGCTAAAGCCATTCTGGACGCTCTTGTTGACCAGCTGGTCCGGTAGAGTATCGAACCCCACGTGACCGCCCAATTGAAGCTGCCTTGGGGCTTTAGTCACCACCTCCTGCGTCTTCTTTTCAGTCAATAGATGAACCATGTCGTTATTGCTTTCGTTAGAACAATGCCGCTACCAAGCAACAAGCGCCACTTCTTATACCCGGAAATCTCGTATGTGCAGCCTGTTTAAACCCCGGTTTTTTTTTAATAAGCCCTTTGGGTTTTCCAGCATCTGGTGGTATACGAAGAATTGAACTGCATCGAAGAGTTTTCTACCTGTGCTTCTTTTTACCTGCAGCCTTTACGATTTTGAATGCAGTACCGCCTCAGTTGTCTATCGAGGCAGTTCTGCCCGATTATATCGACTTATAGCCATAAACACTTACACAGCCAGTGTAAGTCGTGTAGATCGCGGTTTCTTTATCTCACATGCTCAAAAGAGGCTTAGAACTACAAATAGTTAAGAGCTGATACTTAAACGGATACAAATCGTATTATTATTCAAAAATTCACCGAAAAATATTACCGAAAATAAAAACATATTAACAACTACATTGGGAATATAAGTATATAAGTAATGCATTATAATGAATCAACCGTTTGGCTATAAATAGCTAAATATGGCTCGATAACTTGAACGGGACCAGCACTGCAGATAGCAAACACTTATACATAGTTATCGATAGCAGCACTCCACTTTCGACGCATACAGAATTTGCAAAGCCGGAAAAAATTAAAGAATCGGTGGATTATCCTCGATTTAATAGTAAACTAGCACTTAAAGAAACATCTGAAATAGCCGGAAGTGGTAAGAACTGTAAAAACGATCTGAATTGCTCGGATTTTCGAATATTTCCGCTTGAAGCGATTTTCTTTGTCTTCGGGGCGCCGCCATTTTCTTTTCACCTGGCTGCCGCTTGTTATATTGCTATTCGCTAGTACTTTCACAAAGTAAATCTCGAATTTTTCGCAGAATCCCCGGATCTAGATTGCCAGAAAGTTCTCAGGCAGCACAAACCGAGTTAAAGCGCACCGGAATAGCCGCCCATGAGTAGTCATCGAGACGGAGCAGCAGCCGATCGAATCACAATCAAAATTCACAACATGAAGCGTAGCGCCTCGCGCTCCCCGGGCCCGGCCTCCAGGAGCAGTTTGTCGCGCAACTCGCGAAGCATGGGTCGGGGGTACGATAACGGCAGCGGTGTGCCTGGCGATTCGCCGGAGCGCCTTTCGCCGGAGCGTATGCGACGTCGATTGGACCGTTCGCCGAGCCGTTATGGCTCTCCGCACCGGGAGCCCTACATGCGTGGTCCTCCGCCCACAGAGCGACCAGCTGGCTACAAGGTACTTTGCGTCAGCGCACTGCCGCCGAAGGCTCCGGACGATTTCATCGAGGAGACGCTGTACCGCGAGTACAAGAAGTTTGGCGATTTTAGCGTGCGACTGGCGCACGATTTGGATGAACGGGTGGCTTACGTTTGCTTTCGAACGCCTGAAGATGCACGCGAGGCGAAGCACCACAAGCCGCGTCTGATTATCTATGACAAGATGGCCATTGTGGAGCCGGTGTATAAGTCCACAACCAGACCGGAGTATAGGTGGGATTCCTTTTTATAGATATTTTGTGAGCCATGCCTAATCTTATATGCCTTGCAGACCACGCGGGCACTCAATGTCCCCACCGGACTACGAACGTTACCACTACTCGCGGTCCCCCATGGGCCAAGGTGTTCCGTTGGATCACCGTCGACCTCCGATTGATCCCTACGACCGGTACGGTCCTCCCCATATGCATCCGCACGCAGTCCATCCCCGTGATTACCGCCCATTACACCATGACTATCCTCATCCACCACGCGGACCACCTCTACATCGAGGCGGCCATCCGCATCACATCCACGGCCATGCGCCGCCGCATCAGTATGCACCAATGAGGCCATTGGCACCACGCCCACACGCTCCCTATGAAAAGCCTGAGAGCAAGAAGGACAAGTTCCCCAATTACTTACACCATGTGCAGCCTGAGGATGATCCTCTGTCTACGCGAACATTGTTTGCAGGAAATCTAGAGGTTACCATCGCCGACGATGAACTGCGTCGCATCTTTGGCAAATACGGAGTTGTAGATGACATTGACATCAAGCGCCCGCCACCGGGTACGGGGAATGCGTTTGCGTTTGTACGTTACCAGAACTTGGATATGGCTCACCGTGCGAAAATCGAATTGTCCGGCCAGTACATTGGCAAGTTTCAGTGCAAGATCGGATATGGTAAAGTGACTCCTGCAACTCGTATGTGGATCGGTGGCTTAGGTGCCTGGACCTCTGTCACTCAGCTGGAGCGAGAGTTCGATCGTTTCGGCGCGATCAAGAAGATTGAATACCAGAAGGGCGAGCCGTACGCTTATATTCAGTACGAGACAGTGGAGGCAGCGACGGCGGCGGTAAAGGAAATGCGAGGATTCCCATTGGGTGGACCCGAGCGTCGACTGCGTACGGACTTCGCTGAGTTGCCCGGCGCCACACCGGCAGCACCTTTCAAGAGCTCCAAGCCGCCATATGATGAAAGTGCGTTGGAGTACAGACGTCCGGAATATGATCCGTATTATGAAGAGTCCGCGGGCTACGCTCCGCGCGGTGGCTATTCTCCGTATCCACCTAGGGGTGGTTACCGTGGACGTGGTGGATATCGTGGAAGAGGAAGAGGCATGTACCATTACCACAACGATGTGCATAGGCCCCCGCATCCGGGGTCCTTGGCAGGTTCCTCTTCATCGGTCCCCCCTCCCGGCGGAGTGGACGATGAGTGGCGACGTCCGCCAGGAGAATCCTACGACAGGGGAGCCCGCTCCAGCTCCCGGGAACCTGGTGTAGAACGCTCTCGTTCTAGATCCCCATTAAAACGGGCTCGCTCTCCCGGTTCCGACTCGGACAGCTCGACTCGTCGCAACGACGCCCTTGGATCAGCTAGTACGGTACCAGAGGTGGCGCGCAAGTGCAGCACAGTGTGGACCGGAGCTCTGATCCTCAAGAGTTCATTGTTTCCAGCCAAGTTCCATTTGACGGACGGGGATACGGATATTGTGGAGTCCCTGATGCGCGATGAGGAGGGCAAGCATAACCTACGTATCACTCAGCGATTGCGTTTGGATCCGCCAAAGCTGGACGACGTGCAAAAACGTATTGCATCCTCATCGTCGCACGCCATTTTCATGGGCCTAGCCGGCTCCACAATCGATACTAATTGCGACGATGCCAGTGTGCAGACTCGACCACTTAGGAACCTGGTTTCCTATCTGAAGCAGAAGGAGGCGGCTGGCGTGATCTCGCTGCTGAACAAGGAGACGGAGGCCACTGGGGTGCTATACGCCTTTCCGCCCTGCGACTTTTCCACAGAGCTGCTAAAGCGCACATGTCACAGTCTGACGGAGGAGGGCCTAAAGGAGGACCACCTGGTGATTGTGGTGGTGCGCGGCGGGACGGCCTAAGCTGGAGTGGCAAGCGACGATGAGATGAGAGGAAAGTGCTGGACAAACTGGAGGTAATAACTAGCCACAGTGCTCAAGGAAAAACTCCGCCACATCTAATTATAACATAGCAGCCGTAGTCGTATCTTAGTTCGTCCTCTCCCAAGAGGAGGACAAATGGGGCCACATACATGCAAGGGACGTGTATGTGGCTCCTCCTAGCACCGCACACACACACACACACACACATGATGCACACATACAGAGACAGAAGCAGAACCGAGGAGACTTCACCCACACCTCATGACCCAAACCCGTATTAATTAACCATTAATCAACCTTCTTTTGCAGACAGGATCTCTCTTTTGGTTTTATTTCAAGTTCTCGATGTGTTAGTGACAGTGAAGTTTATACATATTTTTCATTATTGTGCTAAAAAGTTATGATTGTATCTAAACCTATTCATACAAATTTTCCAGTTTTATTATGATAAAGTGTACAACAGAATGAAAACAACACGAGTAAAAACCAAACATTTTTTAAAAACTCCATTCGAGTGTCCGCATATGATCAACAACTAGTGCAAAATAATGTCGATGAAAAGTTTTTGTGTTCCTTAAAATTGATTTTCCATTTTGATTTGTGTTACGCTGATGATTTCGTTCTTTCGTTTGTGATCGATGACGAAAATTCTGAGCGACAAAAAGTGCGCCCAGTAGTGGTCTGATTGTCCAATTGAGTCCTAAATAAGATTGCGAAGTGGCTCCAGAAGTTGTTTGCAGTGCGATTTCCCAATCAGTGCGAAGTGCTTAATTCCAGCTGAGCTTCAGTTTCCCTCGATCTCCAAGGGGTTCTTTGGTGTTTCTGGGCTCTGGGTGCGTGAAAGTGGCTGGCAATTCCAAATCGTGTTCCGATCCCTGATCAATATCCGTCTTCCATCCGAAGAGAGAACGTCATGTAGCATTTGCTCCAAAATGTCTATGCTGTTTGATTTGGTTTGGCAATTGTTACATTGGTTTTCTTGTGGCTGCGCTCAACAGAATAGTGTTTTGTTTATAATTTATGAAAGCATTCATGCTACATTTGTTTCAGTGAGTTCAAGTGTCATTCCACGAAACGAGATTAGTTTATACACAATGATAATCCGAGCAGTTCACCCAGTGCATGTGCTGTGTATGCGTGTGTTCTCAAATATATTATTTATATATACCAATCGTAATCTGTACACTCAAAGGTAGTAATAACGATCAAACGCAGTTAATTTATGCTTAAAAAAATATTATATCAAACTATTGTACTGATATCCAAATAAACGACAGCTATTGCATCCTACGAGTTATAAAATCTAGTGTTAAAAAATGTGAGTTGTGAGTTATAGTGCAACCAAGTGTGGAAGAAAGTGAACCATCTGATCACCAAGGAAGGTAATGCAATTAAGCACAAATTAAGCTAGCATCAACTTTAATTTTATTAACAACTGGAACGCACCAAAGCTCTGGAATCTCGATTTCAATCGTAGTACAGGTAAAAGGTGGTGCAGACAGCAAAGTAAGAGGGTCTCTCCACGCTGTAGGTCACAAATCCGTCTTTTTCAGCATCCCACAGGAAGTTGACCATGGAGTAGAGGCCCTGCATCAGGAACTCGCCCACAGTAACCAGCACTATGTATCGATATCTGGGGCGAAATGGTGTTTAGTCGGATAAAGATTACCACAGAACCAAAGTCACCTGTCGTAGTTGTCGAGTTTGATGCGGTTCTTGATTTCCTCGCTAACTTGCGCTGCCATGTGCAGCGAGTGCTTGGGATGGAACATGTACTCATCGTTGTAGTGTCGGTTCATTACCGCCTTAATGATGTTCTCCACGCGCTCCTTGTTGAGCGGATTTTTGGACTCCAGGCGGTAGGTGGGCATGAACCGCATGGTGGGCTAGAGATTAAGCAGATCCCAGGGTACAAAAACAGCTGGATGGACATTTAACGGACTCACCTTTGCTGCCGGAGCACCCATCGGTAAGGAAACGCCGATATGGGACTTGGTCAGCGATCCGCGCTGGCTGCTTGCCGGCCTCTGCATGTCGATGAAATGGGAAACCGAATATGCATGTTAGTTAGGCCACAGCCACGATATCCATACCCCCAATAGAATCCCCACAAGATATGGCGTGACTTCGCCAAATTTTAGACGAACCGTGTTCACATCCCGTTACAAGCATCAATTCATTAAAAAGACATCAATATCCCATTGTAACCTTAATGGCAAAATCAATCGTATACCTTCTCACGCTCCTGACCCAGGCAAAGATTCACCAGCCCCGACCAGTTCTTTGCTGCAGCGGCTGCCATTCTTTTGAATTAATGGAATCGAGTCGGCTCGAGTGCGTAGCAGTTAGCCATAAAACCACAAATGATTATGCCATTAAGTCATTCCCTGCCAGATTACCTGACGGCCTGTCGCCGTGGCAATACGTGGCGTTTGGCTTTGTTGAATCAATACCAGCCAAATTATGCGCCACTTGTCAGCCCAACTTACCGGCTTACTGCCCTCGGCCGACTTTTCCTTTTTCTCCTTTTTACCCTTGCCAGTTTCCGCCTCTTTGGCGGAGGGCTCTGGCACGGTATCCTTGCTACGCCGCTCTTCCGGAGAGTCGCCCATGATCACAATGTTTAACTTAAAATGCTTTTTAGAACTAGACTGGAGCAAAAATATACTACTGAAGCAACGAAGAAAAATGAGAGCCTCCTTAGATTGTCAGAAATTGAAAGATGAGTTTACAACGACATTTAGTTTACATTTTATTTGGTTTGCAACATGTGTGGGAATATGCTTCACATTTCGTGTCGGTCTTGCGTTTAAAGTATACATATCAAACATATACACACAGTCAGTAGACAATAATACACATCCAAGTTACGATATTAACGTTATTACTGGGTGCTCTTGTGGCCACAAAACACCAATTACATATATATACACATATTTCAATATAAATATACTCGATACGTTCGGATTCGGTTAAATACACACCTATTAAATTATCTATAAAAAGTAAAACAATAACAGTGCAAATTCTTGGCCACATATTCTTGTCTTTGTTGCTTCCACTTTTTCGAGTCCAGGACTCCGTGTATGTCTAGACATTAACGAACAGTTGCGTGTTTTTGAAACATTCGTGGCTCTTCGAAATATAAAAACTCAAATTCAGTTACAAAACCTGCAGTACGTACTAAAAATTGGCGATAAAACCGCATTGGTGGAGATAGCACAACACCGAGGAACGATTTCTTAAGACATCTAACATCCATCTACTATGTTGGCCAGTGGGCCATATAAAAGAATAGCGTATCGTCTCGTGCAAATTTTGGTGCAGACTTTTGTAAATATTGGAAAGTTCTAATTTCTCTGTATGTCGTTTCCTTCGAGTTCTTTTTTGGTTTTAGATTTAGATTCTTTGTTTCCATTTTTCATTTAAGTTATTCGTACCAAAGTTAGTTTCAGTCGTGTAGTGGACACATAGGTAAAGCTTTAGTTGCGATCGGGAATCTGCTCGCAAGTGAGTGACATGTAACTTGTTTACATAAATAGACACATTCTTTTTAGCCGATAAATCGTATGCAATGTATGGTGGACACGTATAAGATGCAATAATTATAATCAGTGGGTTTCGTTAGTACATATAGTAATTGCTGGATTGTTTTGGATATATGCTATGCTCAGCGGTGTCTTCGATTTGCTGGATTTCTGTTTCTTAATATGTAAAATGTAGCTTTTGGAATTCGATTAGTTCAAGTTATTTTTGATGGTATCGTTATTTCATAACGCCACATTTGGTCCAAAAATTGTAATGTTAATTAATCTCTCAGTTCCTCAGCTAGTCGTTGGATCGCACTTTTCGCAGTGATCCGCGGTTAAACTTGCAGATGGACTCGAGAAGAGCAGAACGGGTTGGCTCGTCGCCATCGCCGCCCTCGGCATCCTCAGACAGCATGTTTGGTGTCGAGGACTGCCGTTCAACCGGTGCGCCAGTCGACGACGGCAACTCCTGCTGATATATGCTGCCCAAGTGGGGCCCTGGAGTAAGCGGTGGTGCTGAAAGAAAGACGAATTTGGAAGTGAGTCGTGTAAGTTCAAGCAAACAAGCCAACAAACTACTAATTTGAAGCTGTGATCTGATTTGAATAACTACATTTGATGCCGGCCAGTGTGGGCTCCTCGGGAGTGCTGTCGGAGCGGTTGAAGGAGTCGGTCCCACATAACCCACCTACCACCGCGGTGCTGGAGGAAGCTGCTGTTGCAGTCGCAGCCACAAGCGACAAGCGTCCATTGTTTGTTTGGATTGAACTTTGCTGCTTTAGCTTGGACTGTTTGTGCTCTAGTTTCTATACGTAAGCATTGAAATAAACGAAAAAAGAAATAAAAAATGAGCTGTGTAAGATTGAACTACGTGAAATGTTCGGGCTTTGGGTAACTAACTGCTTTCTGCTTGGACTTCCGCTTTTCCTCCTCGGAGCTCATCAGTTCCTGGACACGCACAATCCGCTTTTGGTTCTTTACAGACTTTTGTTCGTCCCGGAGCCGGTTCTCGCTCTTGATAGCTGCCTGCTTTAGCAGCTCCTTGGCATTCAATGATAGCTTAAAGTACGGCTTTTCAGCATTGGCAGCGGCGCCGGCGCTCTCAGTTGCAGCGTATTGCAAGAAGAATCTGTGACCCAACAATTGCTCTAGCGTCGGCAGGCCAGCTTTGCAAGCTTCCTTGGAAAGAATGCTCTCCAGAAGACATTCTAGAACAACAAGTTAAGAATAAAAGCGTTGGTAATCAAAATCAAACTTACTCAGCGCTTCGGGACATTCAGTGATCTGGCGAACAACAGACTCCTGCAGCGGATAACCCATAGCCATTTCAAACAGGACATGACCAAAACAGTAAACATCAATGGTCTCGATAGCATGGATTTTACTGTGCTGCATGAAAAATGGCCGGTAAAACGCTGGTACGCCCAGCAAAAAGTTCTCGATGTCCAGCAGCTTAACACAATCGTCAACTATCACTATGTTTCCGGAATGTAGGTGACCTTAAAATGTTTTCATTTATTGAATATATTGTATCTTCCAGTAGGGTTTCATCTTACCATATGCATATCCCTTTGAGTGCAAAAATATTAGAGCCTCTAGAATCTGCTTCCCATATGTAGCCACTTGTTTCATTGAAAGTGCAGTGCGCCCCTTGGGATTGCCGTACTTGCTAAGAAAGGGATTCTTTGGATTCGCGGCCATGCACAAAACGTCCTTTAAAGTACCATGCTTGTGGAATCTACGTGGAGACACAAATTCAATTATATTCTGCAACGGATAACGTGAGATACTTACTTTCTTATGACCAGGCAACCGTTTTCGGTGTGAGCTGCCAGGAGAACCGGCTCAATGTGTGGATGCTGCAGGCCCATTAAGCTTTTCATTATGCCCCCGATTTCTTTTTCGTCGATAAACTTGTCGGGTCCGTACTCCAGCCATTCAGCCACTACTTCTGACCCGGGATCCAAGGTTCCGGCGTCGATGGAGTGACCGCTGCCGTTGCTGCTCCCAGCGGCAAAATGTTTGCTTTGGTGGGTCTGAGAGCCGCTCTTGACTAGTTGCTTGTTGCTGCTTTTCTCCGGCGGCTTTGTAGTGACTTTAAAGTAGTGCTTCCGGAGGCGCCAGCCTATGGCGCCCATACTTCCACCCAGCAACCACGTAGTGTCGTTGCGCAGGCAGAGCATCGCATTCTGCACGGCATGGTCTGTAGGGGAATAAAAGACATCGATTGGAAGACCTTTTACACTAGCAAATTAACTTACCGTGAAAGGACTGCGAGTAACTCTCGGGATCCACAAAGCGCTTGGCTGGCAGCGAGGAGGCCAATATGGGATTCATTAGTACGGCGTTTATGTACTCTTGCAGGGCTTGCTTCCGTTCAGCTATGAACTCCGGGCGCATGTTACCAAAGATCCGTTTGCGAGGCAGCGGCAGCTCGATGCCGGAGACGCGGAAAGACTTGTCCAGTCGGTCGAAGTCATTGTAGCGGCGCAGAACGGTCCAGTAGTCCTTGTTGCTGGCGCCCCTCCACACGCGCAGCAGGTACTCCTGCAAGCAGACACACACACAGTCACATTCGCCGCTTGCATGAAATCATCAACAATTATTGATTTTTCGCTGGGGTCAGCAGCTCTTTCCCCTCGCGATCTAACTACCGTATGTCCGGCGACCTCCTGGACGGCGGTTATCTCGCAGCTCAGCGCCTGGGTGTCGTCAATTGGCAATTTCCGTTCATATTTGCTCGCAAATACGGCCATTGGACTCCTTTGGATACATTTTCCACTTCACTCGGCGAGCTGCGCTGCTGCTGAAAGTGTATGTATGTGTGGGTCTGGCCTCCACCCTTTTCCACAAGGACTGGAATGGATTGGTCCTTGCACTGAATAACCCGTGCTTCTCGATTAAACTTTAGCTATTAGCACTTGCAGATTGTCTTTGTCCCGAGTTTAATGCAGTTTTCGCAGCCCAATTGGACCCGACACAGATATATTTTTTCACTGTTTACTGCAGCGCACTGATTGTCATTTTTATATCGATATTTCAAATAATATAGTTACCGATAGTCTGCAGCACAACTGTTCCGCTAGGAGCAAAGGGGCAATTAAAAAAGAAGCCGTGTTGTATGTCACGTAAAAGGATAGAAATGAAATATTCTATTGTTACAATATGTGCAAGTTAATTTCATACTTTACCACATCTTCTTAAGGCTTTCTTTACAAAACGAATTTATTCATAACAATTTTATTGAGGGATTAGAAGAGTAATGCATATGCAAGCCTTAAGAAACCTTCGCTTTAAAACGAATACTTTTAAGATTTTATTTTCTTAATTATAAATATCTTAAAGACTAAATTTGTATGTAGCTCAAGCCTTGGCCAAAACCGCAGTTAATATTACGTTATAACATGTTTTTTAGAATTCACATATAAGTAATAATAAGTTAAATAAAAATATCAAGATAAATTTGTAAGCTGAGCATCACCATCGAAAATAGTCCAACACCAGCTAGATATAAGCTAAGCGCCCTGCACTGTCCCGGCCGGATTTGCGAGGTATCGATAACTGGGATGAGCTTGCGTTGTTGTTCTTAGCTAGTGCGAAGTAATTGGGAATACAAGTGAACATGGCCGCAAACTACGCAAAAACGAACAAGGGCATCTCGACGGCAGCTTTGCGAAACCAGCTGATGGGCCTGATTAACTTCACTGGCACGCACAAGGACCAGGCGGACAAGTACCGCCAGCTGCTGAAGACTGTGCTGGCGAACACCGGCCAAGAGCTGATTGATGGGCTACGGCTCTTTGTGGAGGCCATTGTAAACGAGCACGTCAGCCTGGTGATCTCGCGGCAGATCCTTAACGACGTTGGCAGCGAGCTGAGCAAGTTGCCTGACGATCTGTCCAAGCAGCTTTCTCACTTCACCCTGGAAAAGGTCAACCCGCGCGTAATCTC